ATATAGTTAGAGACATCATAATTTCTATATATATATACTTAATTTCTATTATAACTAGAGATTATCCTATCCATTATAACTAGAGATTATCCTATCCAGCCTTTTATGACCTATTTGGAGATTGTAACGAGGGAGAAACTTAAAAAAAAATCCACTCTCGTATTATAATCGGTAAGAGACGATTTGTTGTAACAGGCTATCAGATATTGAATAGTAGTTGACCAAACTGAGAGAGATATACAAAATAACAAAAGTTACCAAAAAAATACATAACATGAAAAACAAAAAAATACAACAACAACAACTCGAGGAGCGGAAGAAGGATCGGTTAATTAAATTATCGTAAATAAAACTCTTATCTTAACGGCACTGTATATATTATATATCAAATTTTTAGAGTCCCTCCATAAAAACACAGTTTTTTACTTTATAGGTATGATGAAATACAAAATTTCAGCACAGACCCATCAATATTTTATTTCAAATTGTTGAATATTAAACTTATATTATAGCAATATATTAAATAAATTATTAGCAATACAGTAAAAATTAATAGAAAACTTATCCAAAACATGACTTTTGACTATATTTTGAAAATCATGTTCAATATTTAGTGACCTCGCCTTTCGCTTGGATGACACTCATAATACTTTGAGACATGCTTTCAATCAGTTTAACAGCATTTACTTTGATTTGTGGGTTTCTGTGCCACTCTTCAATCAATTAACGCTTGTTTGTCTCCAGACCTTTTGATATTTCCCGTTTTAGCTGTTCCCATAAATTTTCAATAGGATTAAAGTCTGGAGAGTGCCTAGGCCAATCTAAGACTTTAATTTTTTGCTTTCTCAGGTATTTTGTGACTCTATCCTTGTGGAATGGAGCAGAGTCTTGCATGAAAACAAAATTTCTATACGGGAACCACTCCTTGACTTGACGGAAACCCCTTGCATGAAAACAAAATTTCTATACGGGAACCACTCCTTGACTTGACGGAAACCCCTCCTTGACTTGAGGCATTTTGCTTTCAAGAACTTGAATATAATGATCTTGCCTATCAAACCTTCCACGATATAAAGTCAACTCGTATCTTTTCCAATTATTATGGGCCAAACCATTACATAAAAAGGAGGTTTTACCCTTTTCATAATTCACTTTTCTTTATATTTTTCTCCCACTAGTTTTTTTACTGTGGACAATTTATCCATTAATCCTGTCGGTTAAAGCATATCAGAACTGTCCATAATCGGTTAAAGCATATCAGAACTGTCCAGTTCTGATATGCTTTAACCCATTCTAATTGCTTTCATTTCATCTCTTCTGTGAGTAATGTTTTTTTTTCGACAACTAAACAAGTCGACAACTAAAGAAGCCTTTCTATAAAAAGAAGACCTTTTATCCTATGTCTTGCTGTCATCAGAAATGTTTTAATTCCAGCATCTGAAGAGTATTCTTATTCTTCAAGCACAAACCTCTTATCTTTTTTCTTACAATCACACTTTTACTCTATTGGGTTCCTAGTTGCAGTTATTGGCAAGTTATAGTTTCACTTTGTTTATAGTTGCTCTAGAAACCTGAGCAATAGACGCATTTTTTCAATTAAAGTTTTCAGTATTATTAATGAGTCTTTTTTTTTTCTGACAATTTACGTGGTGTAACATCTTTAGCTTTGCCGATAATTTCAATTAACCTTGAAAAAATTCTAAAAAAATAATAGTTAAAAATAAATATTATCAGTGTTGTCATCATATCAAAATCAAAGTTTCTAAAATTTAGGCAACATGAGCATTTTTCATACAATTTGTAATGATATTCATACAAAACGAGTATTTTGTGTGTGTGTGTGTATATGTATATATATATATATATATATATATATATATATATATATATATATATATATATATATATATATATATATATATATATATTTGTGTGTGTGTGTGTGTGTGTGTGTGTGTGTGTGTGTGAGTGTATGTGTGTGTGTGTGTGTGTGTTTGTGTGTGTGCACGTAGCAAGGTGATCGAGATGATGAGATTATGGAAATGCGTTTGGAAAAACATTATATCTAAAGGAATACCGGAAAACCACTGCGCCAGAGGTTCAGACAAAATACCAACATTTAAGTTGAAACTTACGGTTAAGTGAATTGTATTAAATTATTAGATCTGCATGAAATATTAGATCCCACTGCGTAAAACTCAAAGTGAGATTGCACTTTCGGGTTATAACTGTTTGAAGTGTACCGAAAACGTCCGTACTACTTTAGTAAACATAAACAAGGAGGAAAAAAACGTTTAGAGGACATGAATTCTAGAAATAAAGTTTACATAAAAGAAATGTAAGAAAGACAATATAAGACAGAGTGGTAGTAATAGAAAATAAACAAATATAAATTAATTAGTTATTTGTTTACATGAAAATATTTTACAAATACTTTTATTATATAACAGTATATGTAAAAATAAAATTCAGACAGATACAAATTATATCTGTCTGAATTTTTTCCTACCCCTTGTAAATCGCTCAATGTAAGATGGTCTGATCCTCATTAAAAGATAATGATTGAAATTCTTCAACTATAAAGTAAGTAATAATAAGTTGTTAGTTGTATAACTTCTGTTTAAACTAGTTACATAATTATTAAATTAGTTATATATTTATGTAAAAATCATTTACAAATATCTGTCTGAATTATATCCTTTTCCCGAGTAAATTATTAAACTTGCGTCTGAATTATTTCCTTCCTCCTAGTAAATTATTAAATAAAAGATGGTGTAACAATGGTATTGAGTGATGTAATAAATAGTCAATAACTATAAACTTTTAGTTACATATTTAATTGAAAATACTTTACAAATACTTTTTTAAGCTTCTAAACTATTACCTCTCCTTAGTAAATAGTTTAATGTAAGATGACGTGATAATGGTATAAAGATGATGATAATGGTATAAAGTGATAGCAATAGGAATTATGCAATTATATATAAGTTATAAAATTATGTAAAAATGATTTACAAATATACTGTCTGAATTATCACATCCCCCTTAGTAAATCATGCAATACGAGATCTATGATACTGGTATTGAATGATATAAATAATTATTATATTTTACTGTAATTGGGAACTTCTAAAACTTTTGGTATTTAAGTTGTATGGCTTTTTTTTATTATAGGAACATAAAACAAATCTTACTTTAATTAGTATAGTTATTATCCAACATTATTATTTTAGCCTAATTTAAAGATATTGTAATGTTTTATATGTATATAACATTACAATATCTTTAAATCATTTACATATGCTTAAAAAACCGCTTTGATACACGATTCCTATTTTAAAGTAACGGAATCGAGAGAACCCTTTTAATCAAACGTTTGTAGAGTGGCTTTGATTTGTTTACCGTAAATAAAGCCAAAAAAATTCTCATTGTTTCAGGATTCATTTGACCTGATTTTACGGTAAACAGCAACAAAAATTTACAGGAATGTTCAATTAACTAGATGTCTAACTTCATTACGAAAAGTGAAGCCGCTTTTTGCCCTTTTTACAAATGGCGGAATAAATTTGTAAACAAATATTCTTAACTTTTCTTTTCTTAAATAAAGTAAATGTATTTTAAATTTAAATACTATTTACTTAAAAGTGTTTAGCGGAAATTATAATACTTATAAAATAATAATTTATAATTCCTTAATTTATTTTCGATTAAAAAAGGATTAAAGTTTTGAATAGAAAAGTAAAACGTCTTACTATTTTGAAGCATTTTTATGAATTAAAATACTTTTTAATAAACATAGGCTCATAAAAAAACTTTTAAAGGTATTTTATAATTATTAAAACGTGTTTTTAAATTGTCTTTAACTTATTGGGAACTTTTGACGTACATTTTTAACTTTTATTCTACACTTCGGCTTCAGCCCTTTTTACAAATGGCGGACTATTGTTGTAAACAAAAAAAAGCCGCTCCAATAAAATCCCGCAAGTTAGACATCTAATTATATAATAAATCATTGGGAATGTTTGATCAAAAAAGATCTCTCGGTTCCGTTTATATATAAATATGAATCCTTAAATATTCCAAATAAAGCCTTAATTATTCGCATAAAACCTTGATTATTTGAATAAAGACTTAACTATTCAAATGAAGCTAAATTTATCAAGAATAATTAAAATACTTAACCTTAGCGCATATGGTAATTCTGATTAATTTTAGTTTATTTTCATTTGCAAATATGGAATTATTAGTCTCAAATAATATTAACATATACAAGACAAAGCTTCGTAGCAATGTTAAAATGTTAAATAACAACAACAACAACACAACAATAACAATATATTTACCAATAAATATTATACAAAGGAGTTAAATAACATATTACCGTCGGGAAGGTTCACTCTCATGTAGCCCGGCTAAAACGAGGAGAGTGACCTTGTAAACAATACAAATTCATAAAAGACAAGGACAAGAAAAAAAAACTAGTTTCAAAAAATAAATACAAATAAAATAAAAAAGAATAAAAGAAACTCAAAGCAAAAAATAGAATAGAATATATATACATGTATCGCTATAACACTAATGGAAAACTATTATCTCTAATTAAGTGAATTTATGAAGAATAATTTAAGTTTTTTTTATTTAGTTCACAAAAATAAAGAGTATTTAGCTTACTTCGTAAGAAATACCAGTCACTACCCAGTAAGCACATGAACGTTTTTAAAACGTTCATGTGCTTACATTTTTAAATACGTTTTAACTAAGAAAAAAAACGTTTTTTAAACGTTCTGAATGGCAATACCTAAAAAACGTTTTTAAAAAAGCGTTTAAAAAACGTTCTAAAAAAAACGTTTAAAAAACGTTCTTAAATAACCTAAATTAAACCATAAAAAAACGTCTTTTAAACTTTTAAAAGACGTTATTTTTTAGAAAATATTCCTAAATCCATAGGTACTATTATTAAGTTGTTTTTAAAAGAACCTGTTGGTTTAAAAAATAAGAAAAATAAAATTTTTATTTATAAGTTATTTTTTAATTTATTTTTTAAAACAATTTACAAACAAAGTAATATTATAACGATGATATCTGTTGGATTTAAGGCACTTTAAGACAAGCAAAAGTTGCCCGCTTTCACGAATCAGCAATTATTGCATCGACAATCGACTCTGTGAGAAGTCGATGCACAAACTAAAAGAAAAAACTATATATTTAAAACAGACAATCTGAACAGCAATAATAGTATTATAGTATAATAATAATATATAGTATAATAATAATAGTAATAAGTTTTTAAATTACAAATATATCTTTTAAAAAAATATATATAACTTCACATTGCATATATATATATATATATATATATATATATATATATATATATATATATATATATATATATATATATATATATATATATATATATATATATATATATATATATATATATATATATATATATGTATATATATATATATATATATATATATATATATATATATATATATATATATATATATATATATATGTATACACATTTTTGGCACAATATAAATAAAACAGCATCACATTGAAATAAAAATGACTCTGCATTGTCAGTAATAAGCGCCACTAATAAAACATAAGAAATTCTGACTAAAAGACTAGTATTTTGTATGCCCCCCATCCGCATCAAGCACGGCCTGTACAAGTCTTGGCATAGATTGTACCAGCTTTTGGATGGTGTCAACAGGGATTGCTAGCCATGCAACTTGCAAATGTTGCCAAAAATCATCCAGATTGCTGGGTTTGGTTTTCTGTACTTTTCTGAAGAGCTCCCCCTACAAATTTTCAATGGGGTTCAGGTCAGGATTTTGTGGAGGCCATTCAATAGCATTGGTACGAGCATGTTTAAGATATTTTATTACTTTCTTAGCTTTGTGGCAAAGAGCATTGTCTTGTTGAAAGAAAAATGGTTTGTTTTTACCAAACAGTTTGTTTGCCGATGGTTTCATTTGTGTTTTTAATATTTCCAAATATTTATCTTGGTTTACCGTGCCTGTACAACAATATAAATGACCTACACCTGATCCTGACATGTAACCCCATACCATAAGAGAGCCTCCTCCATGCTTTACTGTATGAGAGGACTAAATCATTCACTAACACACAGAAGACTAAATCAATCACCAACTATTCTCCTAACATAAGCTCTTTTAGCTCCACAGATAACAGTAAAGGTACTTTTATCACTCCATAGCATTTTATTCCATTGTACAACAGTCCAGGTTTTGTGCAACTTCGCGAATACTCTTTTTTTCGCGATGTTATCAGGTCGCATAAAAGGCTTCTTCGCAGCAATTCTCCCATTCAGGCATTTTTTAACTGTGCTTGCTGTCTGATAAACTTCATGGTTTTTCTCCATGTAGGATCTCAAGCCGTGGCGAAACGATTGGACTAACTCGCACAAACTTAAAGCCGATTCTGCTTTGCAGTAATTTTAT